TAAAACTGTCATTCGATATTTTATACACAGCTTCCGTAATTCTGGTTCCCTGTCCAATTATGGTTCCCATAGATGTGCGCGGGTGACCAGTCTACATATCCGTTTTCAGTCAGAATTCCTCAGTTTTTATCTTTATCTTTAAATTTGAAAAGTTGCGATGTGTCCAATTTGGTACTTCGGAGGAAAGTTTTCAAAACCATTACTTAGCAGGTACTAGCGTTACCGTAAAGCTCGCTCTGCGAGCAGGCCCTTTGGGCCAGCTCGTCGAGCTCGCTATTAACATTTAGGTTTGTGTTATCACTTTTTATTGATATTATTGTAATTATTTATAAAACATGGATTGACAGTTTTAGAACTAGCAGCAGACAGGCTTTTCTTATCAGTAGAATTGCGAGTTAAGATAACCGCGATGCGTATCTCACTGTAATTCTGTCTCGTGGTAGGTTTAAATACTGTCTGTTGAAATATTTACTGAGAGGAAGCTAAGATCACCAGCTTTTAAATGGTGCAACAAATTTTTAAATCAGACATTGAATTGCCCCAAACTAGCGATTTAAACACGGCTAAATTTCAGGGGTTTTTTTTACTAACAAATTGACACCGATAGTCGGCGTCTTCCCCTCGGTAAATAGCCAAGTTTTTTCCCCCCAAAAAATTCTATTTTTCCTTTAAACTGGATCAGATTTAATATTTACATGGTTTAAAATATTAATTTTCTCCCTTTTATCCAGGATAAACCACCAATTGTAGTCCAAAATAACCAAAATCATTGCAGAAAACTGCAAGTAATGTCTCTACATGGAGGCAGCCATTTTTTTTCTTGGCTACATCCCGTACTGAACGGTACTATTTCTGGAAATCAGTTGCTATCAAAATATTGTCATTTTCTTGGTTATTTTTAGTAAAGTAATATATTTTGTATTTCTTATTATGAAAATGACTTGTATGGAGCTAAAGTGTGTCACAGATACACTATTATACCTATACTGTATTAAATTTCATACAAAAATAGAAGTATAAAAACCATTCACCACCATACATATATTAAGAATATATGTTATACTGCAAAGAATATTTTGCATGATGATAAAGTTTTTAAGGGGAAAAAGATATAGTTGTAACACTCTACTATGTAGTTAAGTATATAGTATAAATAAGGTCATAATAAATTTTCCCCAAATTGACTTTTTTCGTATACTTTTTCCCCTCCCTACCAGCGTCCAGCGTCTTCCCCTTTTCCTAAAAAAAACCCCTGAATTTGCATTCTTTAGCAAGCGGGGGGGGGGGGGCGACTAAGGGAAACAAGTCTTGCTTTTTCACTCAAAATACCTCGGTTATTTACGTAGTTCGACAGAGAGAGTTTATAAATGTAAGGCAAATTAATATCTTTTTTTTCTAAATATACTTTATTCCGACAGAAGAACAATGTATAATTATATAATAATAAGATATTTCTAGTTTGGGGCGATTAAATGTCTGATTTTAAAATTTGTTACACCAATTAAAAGCTGGTGATCTTAGCTTCCTCTCAGTATATATTTCAACACATTGTTTGACACTGAAGGTATTTAAATTTACGGTTAAACCTACCATGAGTCAGAAATACAGTGAGATACGCAATCAGTTATATTAACTCGCAATTCTACTTTATATAATATAAGAAAAGCCCGTTTGCTGCTAGTTCTGAAACTGTCAATCCGTGTTTTATAAATAATTACAATAATAACAAACCTAAATATTAATAATTAAAAAGTGGGCCGAGTTGCCCCGTGCCAAGTTGGAATAGGGTCGAGCTGACTCAGGGGGCCAGTACATTTAGGGCAGAGCTGACCCGAATTCGGTAAAGTCTACTGTAATATGGAAAGGCAAAGACTTGTAGCGAATTTGTTTTACTTCCATGGTGAAATATTTTTAAAAAATAATTCATTTTTATTTAACATTTTCTGTTTTACAATTGTCGTTCGGTATTTTATACACTGCTTCCATTTATTCTGGCTCCCTGTCCTATTATGGTACCCATATAAGTGCATAGGACACCAGTCTATGCTTTGTTTTCAATCAGAATACTTGGGCTTATATCATTATCTTGTAATTTGAAAAGTTGCAATGTGTCAATTCAGTGCCTCAGATGAAAGTTTTCAAAACCATCACTATGTAGCAGGTACTCGCGTTACTGTAAAGCTAGCTTTGTGAGCAGGGCCTTTTTGGCAGCTCTTTGAGCTTGCTATTAACAGGAAAGTCAGATAATAAAAAAATTTTGTTCACTTTTATTTTACAATTGTTCGTTTTTAAGGTATTGTAATATTTCATGTACCGCTTCCATTTTTTAGTCGGAACACCTCAACTTTTTTCTTAAGCCGAAAGGTTGCGATTGTTTGGTTAACAGAATACCCCAGCAATTATTGAGTTACTTTTAAATATACATATGTAGTCTATACCCCGGCAAGCGGATCATGGGCTCGCTTTGATAATGTTAGGCACAAAGGCATTCAGTTCAATTGCCTTGTTAGTGATTGTAAAATTGTCGTTTAATACAAGCTATAGTACAACTAATTACAGTAGAGTTTAGACATGTCAAAGAGATAATTGAAGTACATGTCTTTTCCCATGTCCAATTACGAACTGCATTTTTATACATGGTCATTGCCAATTAAGAAGTAGTTGGGAGCTAAAACTAGCTTTAAGGAAAAAGTGACCTACTTTACCTGATAGATATATGTATCTGTACTTCAAACAATATATTCCCAAGATTTCACTATTTAATCTTTAATGAAGTACTGAAAACAAATTTTCCCCTCTTAATTCCCCTCTCAACGGCAATTGGCTTTTCAGCCTGCCATCTTTAATTTTAAATGGTGCTTATCCATATGTAAACATTTTTTCTTCACAATCTCTCTAGACCTGCAAATATTAGAGACCAGCAGCTATCAGTCGCACATATGTTTTATTAGTTTATCCCTGTTCTAAAGCATTTCTTTTCATTTATCAGTTGCACCTATTTTTTATAAGTCTGTCCCAGTTCATAAGCAATTATTTCCATTGTTTCAGAAAATATCAATGTCTATATATTGTCTTTATTTGCCAATCTAGAGACTGAATAAGATCAAATTGGCCATACTCATTTTATATGTATATAAGGTTATCATGGAATGCATATCTAGCTCACCATAACCGAAGGTTCAGGGTGAGCTATTAGTATCAAAGGGGAATACTCCAGCGGCTGGCCACATGCGTCAACAATCTTCTTCTTTTTTGAAACTGATGCGTAGAGTTACCTCAAATTTGGTCTGTAGCATCCTTGTGACAGTCACACTTAAATTTGTTCATGCCATTTCAATTGGCCTCTTTTAGAGGGCAACAGAGCTAAAAATAGAAAAACCTTTAAACATCTTCTATTTAGCTTTAATCATCTTCTACTACTAATTTAAATGATGGATGATCACCAAAATTTGTCTGTACATAGCATTCTTAGGTAGTCTTTTATCAAATTTGCTCATTTTAATTTTATTTGGCCCCTTTTAGAGGCCGCTAAAGCTAAAAATAGAAAAAAAAACTTTGAACATCATCTCTTACTGAAATAACTGATGGATGATCACCATATTTTTTCTGTAGCATTCTTGGGGAGTCTTTTATCAAGACCTGCTCTAGTGGTCATTTATTCTGCATTAATTAATTCTACATAGTCTCATAGGTACACACGCAACATGGATATTTTTAAAAAACCCTTCCTAAAGTATTAGGGCAAAATATTTCAGTTGATATAGTGAATAACGAAATGATGGGTTAGATGGGTGATCTAGGGCCATCTTAGTAGCCCTATTGTTGATTATGAAGAAAAAACAATCAGTGTTGTGAAAGTATATTACTACAGGGGCAAGTTAAATTTGAGTTGAACTTGCCAAAAGAGCTGAACTTGCCTTTCAGCAAGTTCATTTGAAAAATAAAGTAACACTGAAAAGCAGTTGTTGCTGGTGAGAGACTCAGGGACATCATTGCCCTCCTGTTTTACAATGACCAGGGGGTTCTGTAGACCTTGAAACTTAAGGGTAAAATCTTTTTTTCAGATCTATCATCAAACCCAAATATTCAAGGGTCAGCATATTTGGAGTATCATTAATCTAAATTTATACAGTTTATTTACCAACTTATATAAAAAAACATTTTTAGAACATATTTCATAAGGAAAGGAATTGTGAAATTTTGTTGTTATGATCCCTGAAGGGTGAGCACTAAGTCGCCCTTTTGTCTGTCTGTCTGTTCGTCCGTCCACTTTTCTTGTCCAAGACAACTCTACCTTGCCTACTTTTGGAGTAATTGCCCTTTGTACATTTTTACATTTTGAACATTGTGCGGGACATAACTCTAAAATTATAAGAGATATCAAAATGAAACTTTGCAGATAGATAGATCTTATTGGGTAGATTTGCAGTGAAAGACATCCATAACTCTGCCATGCCTAATTTTTGAGTAATTACCCCTTATTTATTTTTACACTTTGAACATTTTCCTGGACATAATTCTAAAACTTTAAGAGATATTAACATGAAACTTTATAGGTTGATAAATTTCATTTTGAAGAAGTGCATGCATTGTAAATGGACCTTAAATCTGTCTTGCCTTATTTTGGAGTAATTGCCATTTGTTCATTTTTACACTTCAAACTTTGTCCTGGACATAACTCTAAAACTATAAGAGATATCAACATGAAACTTTGTAGGTAGATAGATCTCATTGGGTAGACATACAGTGCAAAAGAAACATAATTCTGCCTTGCCTTATTTTTTGAGTAATAGCACTTTGTTCATTTTTACATTTTGAACTTTGTACAGGACATATTATTGCACTTTGTTCATTTTTACATTTTGAACTTTGTACAGGACATAACACTGAAACCACCCACTTCAAACGGCTCTTGGTTCTTGTTATACATACAAATGTATTTGTAAAACGTGATCTGTAAGTTTCCCTACCATAATTCCAACTTTTTTTTTCAGTTTGATTGGGATAACTAAACACAGATATATAGAGACTACTTTATGTTTGCTAAACAATCAAGATGAAAGTAACTTAGTAAGTCCATTTATTCCTTCTCATAAGAATCAAAAGCATTTATGTAAAGAAACATGGACACACATATAAGGTAGTTGTGTGCAAACTCTGTTTTTTCAAAGGACTTGAATATGGAAAGTCACACCAGTGAAAACCAATATAGCTGCAATATCTGTGACAGATCATTTACTCAAAACAGTTATCTGAAAATGCATTTGATTGCACACACCGCAGGGAAGAGTTATCAATGTGAACTTTGTGACAAATCATTTTACAAACAAAGTAGTCTTGCTTCACATTTGATAATACATACTGGAGAGAAAAGATATCACTGCAAACACTGTGGCAATTCCTTTTCTTGTACGGGTAATCTTAAAAAACATATGACCATTCATACAGGAGTGAAGAGTTACCAATGTGAACTATGTGAAAGATCATTTTTTCATAAAAGTAATTTAAAGAAACATGTGATTGTACATACAGGAGAGAAGAGTTATCAATGTGAATTTTGTAATAGAGCATTTTATAGAAAAGATTCTCTTACAAAACATATGATGATACACACTGGTGAGAAAAGTTATCAATGTGAAGTTTGTGACAAATCATTCTACCGAAAACATATTCTTGAATCACACATGCTTATACATACTGGAGAGAAAAACTATCAATGCAAGCTCTGTGATAAATTGTTCTCTCTGAAATCTAATCTTAACAAACATATAAAGTTACACATGAAAGTAAAGGAATATATATGCAAAGTGTGTGATGTTTCATTTTCTTCAAATAGTGATCTTGAAAAGCATACTGCTATACACACAGGAGAGAAAAGTTATCAATGTGAAATCTGTGGCAAATTATATGCTAGAATAGGTGACCTTAAAAAACACATGTCGATTCACCAGAAAAAATTATTAATTATATGTCATGTGAATATGCAGCAGACTATTTTCTCATAAAAATAGTTTAAATGCTCATATATTAACCCACACTGAAGTGGCAAATCATCAAATGTGAAATTTGTGAGAAATCATTTGCCAGAAAAAGATTATCTAAAAAAACATATGACAACACACACTGGAGAGACTAATTATGTATAATATGAAATATGTTAAGAAAAGTAGTCCCAAAGCACATATGGTGAGCCATGCTCGAGAGAAGAGAGCTTTTTGTTGAGAAAATTGTGAGAGATCCTGAATTGTCTCTCAAAAAATCTTAGCAATGTCCTAGCCATATGACAATGCTTAGAACATACTTGTGAGGAGGTTACTTTCATGAAATCTTTGAGAGTCATTTTCTCCCGAGTGTAATCTTAAAATGCACATTACAGTACACACAAGAGAGAAATTGAGGTAATTCCAAACTGTATTCCGTGAATAGTGATTTCAAATCTCTTGATTGCAAGAGATTAAATATCAGTGGCACATAATGTATTTGACACAGAGTATATAGAGAGACTTTAAGTATGCTAAAAATGTGGGAGATCAAAGACGCATCGGTATCATCATCAGTTATCCTTATTGTTACAAAATGTTCAAGAGTTATGTTAGATACATTTTTGATATTACAAAATGTTTAAACTGGTGTCAGTTTGTCAGATAAATAAATTGAATAAAAGAATATGTTGTAATATTTGCTTGTACATTGTATATATAAAGGCCCAAGGTGTATGGGTTAGCAATAAATTTCTACAATTTTTTTTTAATAGAAATGGATTTTATTTGGGACGGTAAAGCAAAACACTTGTAAAAAAACTTTGTTTAAATAGTTTCAAACGGATATTACACAATGTACATAATTATGCCATTGCTTTTCAAACAATGCTTTTCAAAAGTATATAGATATATTTACAAATGTACATTAAATCTTTAAATGTTTGTAAAGCCGAGTCATAAAATGGCTGGGGCATAAATTGTTACACTGTTTCTTCCTTCGGTCCTTTCGTTATTTTTTCATCATTAGTTTACGTTCATTATCTTGGTAACGGTTGCACACATTCAACTCAAATTTTGACATATGTATATATCATAGAAAAATACAGGCTAAATTTGGTCATGGGAGCTATAAGAATACACTTGTCAAGTTCGAATTTGGTCATGGTTTGATGAAATCTGTCAGAGTATCCCTCTTGAACTTTGAAAAAGATCAGAAATTTTTAGTTTCCGTTCATCATCTCCCCAATGGTGATACACATTCAACTCAAATTTGACATATAGATACATCTTAGGAATAAGGAGTTCAAGTTTGTATTTGGCGTGGTTCAATGATTTTGGACTTGAATGTTGGAAAATTTTGAATTTTCAGTTTCAGCACTCATATTTTTGTGGAAATGTATGTAGTCATTATTTTGGTTACAAATATGAAATATGCAATTAACAAAAGGTTAACACTAAATAGTTTCAGTGCCTTGAACTTTGTATAAAAATGAGTTGTGTTAATATTAAATAGTTTTAAGGACTTTGAACTTAAAATGAAAAACAATAGTTTGTGCAAACAAGTTTGGACCTAAATACTATAATATCTGAAATTTTGGCTGCATGTGGGGGCATCCGTGGAGTGACGACACATTAGTATAAAGAGCTTTGCCAAGAAATGTGCTTAGGCAATTTCTCACATCGAATTTACAGAAAAGTATTTATAACATTGAATATAATATATCTTTTCACAGGCCCATAAAATACCAATGTTTGTGTTGCATAAAAAACTTTCTCCCAGAGCAAAGAGTAAGCATGGAATCAACTTATTATCATTCACATACAAAAAATATTCTTTCACGTGAAAACAAATAAACAGACACAAATCAAACTAAATCAAACAAATCAATAGTTTGTGCCTGCTTTGACATACAAGAATAATTTTGTTACACCATAATGTTTTGAAAGTTGTATGTTCTACAAAAGAAAACTGAATACTTAAAATTAAGTCATCATCATCATCATCTAGCTATACTATAATCATCATCTTCTCAAGATACAAGACTATATAGTATCGGACACATCTGAACAATCCATTTCAATAAATTTTTGTATATTGTCTACTGCCAGATAAAGATGACAAGTTATTTCTCCTTCACTTTGTAAGTTTAATCCTGAAAACTCAGAACTTGAATCACTGATAGAAGCGCTTGAAAAATTAGCTAGTTCAACCATTTCAAATGACATATCATCGTAACCAGTACCACATATATATAAACAATATAATATATTTAGCTCCATGCCTGTACACAGATTATGAGCCAACGTACTGTTTAATAAATGCAGCTAAATCTTTAACACTTGTAACAGGACTTTATGTTTCTAGCCCATCAGATTCGGGCATTCCTCTTGGAGAGCGGCTGTAGGGGTCATAAAAATACAGATGACCTTCTTCCTGACTAATGGCACATGTATTATATATAGTATGGTTTGCTATTTCCCATTGTAAAAACTGCATGTGACAACTTAAAGTTACCAAATGATTCTGTTTTGGCATCTTCCATATTATAAGAATGGATGCTCTGTGGATTCCCTTTAAAGTATTTACCCTTATTATTTTAACCGAATTAACAGTGGCGTGTATATCATCAGCAGACCAAAATGATTTAGAACTGATATTTTGTACATAAAGTTTATCACCATTTTGAAGTATAATATTCTTGGTTTCCACAGTTTATTCTAATCGCGGTGTAGATAAGCTTGTGACAGTGGCACTTACTTCAACTGTCTGAAACTTCCAATGTATTTTTGGTGGCCCTGATGACAAGATTATTGTAATACCATTTTTTGTAGGAAAAGGTAATGCTGTATATCACAAACTAAAAATAGAAAAATATGGAAAGTATTTATATATATTTATTTATTTTACAGAAAACAGCATTTTTTTCCAAATTACACGTAATTACAAAAATATAGTTTCTTTTAGTGTAGCGTGTACCGAGCTGTCGATTATTAAATCTATAGTTACAAAATAAAATCACAATATTTTTAATAATCTTTATATATATTCTTAAATGCATATACATGTCATTTTTCTCGGGATACTTATCCTAATAATTGGAAAATAATTAAAAAACACCATTCATTGCAAAATAACCATCCTAAACTACTTCTTAAATCATTCAAAACTGTATATTCCAAAATAAACAATTATTTTTCTCAAAAACAATTCTCAGACAAATTATAACTGTCAAGAGCTATACATATCCTTCATTGCCCTACTTTTACATTTCAACAATCTCTTATCCTACATTCCTTTCTAAAGATACAATAATTCACACATTGATAACAAATAATTCCTCAATAATAATTTGCCTTATAAATATATAGCATCCTTAGTACCAGATATCCGAGATTTCTGTGTACTAGTTACTATATATAAAAACTTTAAACTTCAACCAAAATATTTCTAATCAACCGTTTGTCCGAGAGGTCTTACTGAAACAAAAGAACATTTCAGTACCAGATATCTGAGATTCTGTGTACATGAAAATGCTACTGTCATTACGATCCGACTCTTACAATGACATAACCAAACATATTTCAATCTATTTCCCTAAAATACTGAAACTAAACAATTACTCAGAGATTTGACAGATATAGTAAAACGTCCTTAGTGCCAGATATCTGCGATTTCTGTACACTAGTATGTATTTACTACGTCGTTCCCTTCTAAACACATACATATTCAAACCAACTTAAAATACCCATTTCTCAAACTTTCTTCTATCGATCGTTTGTCCATGAGGTTTCACAGAAGCAGCAAGATATTTTTAGCACCGGATATCTGAGATGCATCGGTACTAGTAAATATAATACTGCTCTGATCTGCCCCACGGACGAAACCAAACTGACTCTTTTGTATGTATGTATGTAGTTAAAGCTTAATTAATGAGGGTCCACCCGCCCTTTCGAGCACAAGATGCAGCTTTCGCTGTCGAGTACGGACCCCGGACATGTCACCAGTCATGCCCTTAAAGAGTTAATTTTGAAGTACAAAATGGTGATAATTTACCTCCATGCAGTTTCCACGGAGTATTAGCCAAAGATATGAATTTTGAGCCAAAAGTAGGTCACTGTACGGCGGTCAATGATCGAGAACCTAAATGTACAGTAACCTGTGACAAAAGGAAAGGTGTTTCAGCCCTGAAAAGGGCTGTTTGTGCCAGCTACATGTATAGGCCTGCCTTACAAGCCGTCTATCTGTACTAGGGGCTCACGCACTCTAGTAAACCATCCTCGTCGTCTTAGCCTACTTTACAGGGCCACTCCCCTCGGCATTAGTAAGGACACCGGCAGCTAACTTAACGAAACTGCCGCCTTAAACGATTATAACACGAATCTTCCATCATCTGCCGATGCCCTGTGCCTTCTCAGCGACGTGCACGCTCCGATGGGAAGTGAGAAGACTGACTCTTTTGCGCTGCGCTTGCTGTATTTACACTAGTGAGTGAACCTTCTCCGCAGTGAATGAAAACAATGATTGGCTAATAAAAATAAAACGTTTCTTGATACTGATTCTAACAAAATCTTATAAGCGTCTGTTACTTAAAATTATTTCTCTTATGAACAACTGTGAAAAATAGATAAACAATTTCAAAAATTGAAAAAAACCTTGAAGGATACCATAACGTTTTACAGATTTTAACGTAAAAATAATTAAAATACCTACTCTTTATACAATGATATATTTACAAATACATTATTATATCTTTTCCAATGCAAATGGCGAACTTATAGAAAGGGGAGGCAATAAAGTTACCCATAAAGTACGTTTCTGTCACATTAGTTTTTTTAAGTAAACAAAACTTATACATAATTTGAAATCACAGGAGCTTGAAATTCTATCAATAATTGCCCTAAAGTCAGATTCCAAAAAAAACCCTTCCCTATATATAAAAAATATATATATTATATTTTATATATAGGTATGGATTTTTTTGGGGAATTTGACTTCAGGACAATTATTGATGGAATTTTAAGCTCCTATTATGGCAATATAGGCTTTATAATGACAAATGTTAATAAAATTTTGATAATTATAACAGTCAAAATTACAAAATTAAAATTTCTTTTATTCTATGATGTTAAAAATATGAACTACACACAAATTTAAAGAACACAAATTTTAACTTACACACAGTCAGCCACTAAACTGCCAGCTTCAGCTACATGTATTTTCATTATTTTAGCAGAATTGTTGAGGCCAATTGTATAACATCACATTAACTGATATGACATCATAAGTATGTCCAGTTTTTTCTTACAATAGTGAAAAAACAAAGGAGCTTGTAACGGTGCCTGGACTCTATATTGGGGCTATTTGTGACCAAAACTAGGCCCAGAAAAAAAAACAGGTGACAATCCTTATATATAGACTATAGTCACCTGTTTTTTTTTTGTTTTTTTGTGTTTTTTTTTTTTTGGGGGGGGGGGGGGGGTCTTGACCTAGTAGTCTATATACAAGGGTTGTAACTCTGTGGACAGTACAGAATCGATCTTTCTGCTTTGAATTGGCCACATTCTGGAGATTGTGACGTAGAGAACCCACACCCACAGTCTCAGATCTAGACTCTGTAAAGAGTACATAATCGATCTTCTGCTTTGGATGGGTCACATCTCGAGCATCAGTGTATTTGTTTTGAGTTAAGCCATCGGGACAAAGTGCTATTCGTCAGGACACGGAACCCCTTATTTATTTGTTTTTCTTTTTTCATTCATTGCTTATCATTTTATTTCATTTATAAATATTCATTTATTTTTTGTAAAATAGTTTGTACTGATTTGTGCGTTGTTTTGTATGGTAGTTGTGATTAGCCTGTGTTCCAACGTAGTCCATATTGTGATAGAATTACGAAGTAAGTTAATGCTTTTTAAGTCAGAATTAGTTCCTGTAAGACTGAGTTATAAAAAAAAACATAGTGATTAATTAAATACTGATGCATTTGCGATGCAATGATTAGATTTATAATTACTCTAAAAATTGCTGTGTATTTAACACTTATAGTGATGTTTTACATTTAAGATTAAGTTTGTTGTTGTACATTAACTTCATATCTATATATCGGACCACTGTCTGTCTTTACAAATAAAATGTTTGTGACATACTGACACAAATTAATATGTCCTGAGCAGCAATAGAATGTTTAAGTTTTAAGGGCGTATATATATTTCATCTAGTTTTCAATTATGGTGAATGACAAGTTTTTTTTTTATTTTAAAAAATGAAACTCAACTATTTTTTCAATTGCTATTTCATTAGTTTTCTAGCCCCAAGTTTAACTCTTTACCAAGAAAAAAGGAAAAAGTTTTGAAAAAGTATATTTTATGGTGTCAAATATGAGTTTACTGACCTTTCTACAGATATAAAATATCAATTTTAAAGCTGTTTCATGAAACAATAAGTTTGTTATAATAAATATAACGTTACTATATTTTTCATTTTATCAGCCACCGTATTATATGCCAACCATTTGCAAGTTACCTGTATGTTTTATCAGCAATTTATTACTATTAATAGATTTCATAAAAATTAAATGCAACTTGCAACATAGAGTATGAAATTGGACTAGGCCGAGACCATTCACATTATTTTACGGACCAGAACGGTGATAGTTTTTAGCAATACCTTTACTAAAATTTACGCTGGTATAGAAATTACGAACTCCGCCAAAGATAACAACAAAGCGATTGGGTTCAATTTTACATTTTTTGTCAGATATAGCGTAAGTTTTGACCAATTTTATGGTTGCTTAGATATTGATTCTTATTTTCTTGTATTGCGATAACATGAAAATGCATCTTTGTAGCCGTTATTTTCCGCTTTTTGTGTGTGTTGAAGCAACTAGCTATATGCCGTATTCCGGTAAATTCCGGACCTGCGGGTGGAATATCAAAATTGAAAATCACCGAAGTGCAATTTAAGATGGCTTACTAATCTCCTTACACACATTAAAATAGTAAATAAAAAATCTAATATGAAATTAGGCAAAGCCTATGAACGGGGAAGTTGGTAAAAAATCCTTTCATTTTTCCGTTTTAAAGGGAATCCAGGTCAGCTCGGCCCTAAAATGTACTCTGCCCCTTAGTCAGCTCGGCCCTATTCCAACTCGGCACGGGTCAACTCGGCCCTCCTTAAATTATTAACATTTAGGTTTGTGTTATCACTTTTTATTGTTATTATTGTTTTTATTTATAAAACATGGATTGACAGTTTCAGAACTAGCAGCAGACAGGCTTTTCTTATCAGTAGAATTGCGAGTAAAGATAACCGCAATGCGTATCTCACTGTAATTCTGTCTCGTGGTAGGTTTAAATACCGTCTGTTGAAATATTTACTGAGAGGAAGCTAAGATCACCAGCTTTTAATTGGTGTAACAAATTTTTAAATCAGACATTGAATTGCCCCAAACTAGTGATTTAAACACGGCTAAATTTGCATTCTTTTGCAAGCGGGGGGGGGGGGGGGGGGGCGACTAAGGGAAACAAGTCTTGCTTTTTCACTCAAAATAACTCGGTTATTTACGTAGTTCGACAGAGAGAGTTTATAAACATAAGGCAAATAAATATCTTTTTTTTCTAAATATACTTTATTCCGACAGAAGAACAATGTATAATTATATAATACTAAGATATTTCTAGTTTGGGGCGATGAAATGTCTGATTTTAAAATTTGTTACACCAATTAAAAGCTGGTGATCTTAGCTTCCTCTCAGTATATATTTCAACACATTGTTTGACACTGAAGGTATTTAAATTTACGGTTAAACCTACCACAAGTCAGAAATACAGTGAGATACGCAATCGGTTATATTAACTCGCAATTCTACTTATAAGAAAAGCCTGTTTGCTGCTAGTTCTGAAACTGTCAATCCGTGTTTTATAAATAATTACAATAATAACAAACCTAAATATTAATAATTTAAAAGTGGGCAGAGTTGACCCGTGCCGAGTTGGAATAGGGCCGAGCTGACTTGGGGGCCGAGTACATTTTAGGGCCGAGCTGACCCGGATTTGGTAAAGTCTACTGTAATATGGAAAAGGCAAAGACTCGTAGCGAACTTGTTTTACTTCCACGGTGAAATATTTTTAAAAAATAATTCATTTTTATTTAACATTTTGTTTTACTATTGTCGTTCGGTATTTTATACACTGCTTCCATTTATTCTGGCTCCCTGTCCTATTATGGTACCAATATAAGTGCACAGGACACCAGTCTATGCTTTGTTTTCAATCAGAATAATTGGGCTTATATTGTTATCTTGTAATCTGAAAAGTGGCGATGTGTCAATTCAGTGCCTCAGATGAAAGTTTTCAAAACCATCACTATCTAGCAGGTACTCGCGTTACTGTAAAGCTTGCTTTGCGAGCAGGGCCTTTTGGGCAGCTCTTTGAGCTTGCTATTAACAGGAAAGTCAGATAATAAAAAAAATTGTTCACTTTTATTTTACAATTTTTTGTTTTTAAGGTATCGTAATATTTCATGCATCGCTTCCATTTTCAGTCAGAACACCTCAATCTTTTTCATAAGCCGAAAGGTTGCGATAGTTTGGTTAACAGAATACCCCAGCAATTATTGAGTTACTTTTAAATATACACTTGTAGTCTTTACCCCGGCAAGCGGATCATGGGCTCGCTTTGATAATGTTAGCCACAAAGGCATTTAGTTCAATTGCCTTGTTAGTGATTGTAAAATTTTTGTTTAATACAAGCTAAAGTACAACTAATTAGAGTTTAGACATGTCAAGGAGATAATTGAAGTACATGTAATTCAGTTCAGGGAGATGTCTTTTCCCATGTCCAATTACGAACTGCATTTTTATACATGGTCTTTGCCAATTAAGAAGTAGTTGGGAGCTACATTGTATAAATAGCTGTAAGGAAGAAGTGACCTACTTTACCTGATAGATAAATGTATCTGTACTTCAAACAATATATTCCCAAGATTTCAATATTTAATCTTTAATGAAGTACTGAAAACACATTTTCCCCTCTTAATTCCTCTCTCAATGGCAATTGGCTTTTCAGCCTGCCATCTTTAATTTTAAATGGTGCATATCCATATGTAAACATTTTTTCTTCACAATCTCTCTAGACCTGCAAATATTAGAGACCAGCTATCAGTTGCACATATTTTTTATAAGTCTGTCCCAGTTCTTAAGCAATTATTTCCATTGTTTCAAAAAATATCAATGTCTTGTTTTGCCAATCTAGAGACTGAATAAGATCAAATCATGTATAAAAAGTTATCATGTAATACATATTTATCTCACCAGAACCGAAGGTTCAGGGTGAGCTATTAGTATCAAAGGGGGATACTCTGGCGTCCGTCATCTGGCGTCATGCGTCAACAATCATCTTCTTTTCTGAAACTGATGGTCAGATTTACGTCAAATTTAGTCTGTAGCATCCTTGTGACAGTCACACTTAAATTTGTTCATGCCATTTCAATTGGCCCCTTTTAGAGGGCAACAGAGCTAAAAATAGAAACACCTTAAAACATCTTCTACTACTAATTTATATGGTAGATGATCACCAAAATTTGTCTGTACATAGCATTCTTAGGTAGTTTTTTAATCAAATTTGCTCATTTTAATTTGATTGGCCCCTTTAAGAGGCCGCTAAAGCTAAAAATAGAAAAAAAAAACTTTGAACATCATCTCCTACAGAAATAACTGATGGATGATCACCATATTTTTTCTGTAGCATTCTTTTATCAAGACCTGCTTTAGTGGTCATTTATTCTGCATTAATTAATTCTACAAAGTCTCATAGGTACACACTCAACATAGATATTTTTAACAAAGCCTTTCCAAAATATTAGGACAAACTATTTTAATTGATATACATGTAGTGAATAACGAAATGATGGGTTAGATGTTTTACAATGACCATGGGGTTCGGTAGACTCTGAAACTCAAGGGTAAAATCTATTTAAAGATCTATCATCAAACCCAAATATTCAAGGGTCAGCATATTTGGAGTATCATTAATCTAAATTTATACAGTTTATTTACCAACTTGTATCAACAACATTTTTAAAACATATTTCATTAGGAAAGGAATTGTGAAAATTTGTTGTTATGATCCCTGAAGGGTGAGCACTAAGTCGCCCTTTTGTCTGTCTGTCTGTTCATCCGTCCACTTTTCTATTGTCTGTGACAACTCTGAAACAACAATAGGTACCAACAAGAGACTTTATAGGGAGATAGATCACATTGGGTAGATGTGAAGTGAATAAAAATGTAACTCTACCTTGCCTACTTTTGGAGTAATTGCCCTTTTTTTTTTCATTTTTACACTTTGAGCTTTGTCCGGGACATAACTCTAAAATTATATCAAAATGAAACTTTGCAGATAGATAGATTTTATTGGGTAGATTTACAGTGAAAAACATCCATAACTCTGCCATGCATTATTTTTGATGCATTATTTTTGAGTAATTGCCCCTTATTTATTTTTACACATTGAACATTTCCCTGGACATAATTCTAAAACTTTAAGACATATTAACACAAAACTTAATAGGTTGATAAATTTCATTTTGAAGAAGTGCATGCATTGTAAATGGACCATAAATCTGTCTTGCCTTATTTTGGAGAAATTGCCATTGTTCATTTTTACACTTCAAACATGTCCTGGACATAACTCTAAAACTATAAGAGATACAAATGTATCAACATGATACTTTGAAGGTAGATAGATCTCATTGACAAGACATACAGTGCAAAAGAAACACAATTCTGCCTTGCCTTATTTTTGAGTAATAGCACTTTGTTCATTTTTACATTTTGAACTTTGCACAGGACATATTATTGCACTTTGTTTTGAACTTTGTACAGGAAATAACACTGAAACCACCCACTTAAAACGGCTTTTGGTTCTTGTTATACATACAAATGTATTTGTAAATAGTGATCTTTTAGTTTCCCTACCATAATTCCAACTTTTTTTTTCAGTTTGATTGGGATAACTAAACACAGATATATAGATACTTCTTTATGTTTGCTAAACAATCAAGATGAAAGTAAGTCCATTTATTCCTTCTCATCAGAATCAAAAGCATTTATTTAAAGAAACATGGACACACATATAAGGTACAAACTTTTTATGTGGTAGTTGTGTGCAAACTCTGTTTTTTCAAAGGACATGAATATGGAAAATCACACCAGTGAAAACCAATATAGCTGCAATATCTGTGACAGATCATTTACTCAAAACAGTTATCTGAAAATGCATTTGATTACACACACTGCAGGGAAGAGTTATCACTGCGAACTTTGTGACAAATCATTTTACAAACAAAGTAGTCTTGTTTCACATTTGATAATACATACTGGAGAGAAAAGATATCACTGCAAACACTGTGGCAATTCCTTTTCTTGTACGGGTAATCTTAAAAAACATATGACCATTCACACAGGAGTGAAGAGTTACCAATGTGAACTATGTGAAAGATCATTTTTTTTAGAAAGTAATTTTAAGAAACATGTTATTATACACACTGGAGAGAAGAGTTATCAATGTGAATTTTGTAATAGAGCATTTTACAGAAAATGTTCTCTTAAAATACATATGATGGTACACACTGGTGAGAAAAGCTTTAAATGTGAAGTTTGTGACAAATCATTCTACCGAAAAGATACTCTTAAATCACACATGCTTATACATACTGGAGAGAAAAACTATCAATGCAAGCTCTGTGCTAAATTGTTCTCTCTGAAATCTAATCTTAACAAACATATAAAGTTACACATGAAAGTAAAGGAATATATATGTAAAGTGTGTGATGTTTCATTTTCTTCAAATAGTGATCTTGAAAAGCATACTGCAATACACACAGGAGAGAAAAGTTATCAATGTGAAATCTGTGGCAAATTATATGTTAGAATAGGTGACCTTAAAAAACACATGTCCATTCACCCAGAAAAAATGATAAATTATATATCATGTGAAATATGCAACAAACTATTTTCTCATAAAAATACATTAAACACTCATATATTAACCCACACTGTAGTGGTGAATCATCAATGTGAAATTTGTGAGAAATCGTTTGTCAGAAATGATTATCTGAAAAAACACATGACAAAACATACAGGAGTGACTAATTATATATAATATAAAATATGCTAAGAAAAATAGTCCCAAAGCACATATGGTGAGACATGCCTGAAAGAAGAGAGCTTTTTGTTGAGAAATATGTGAGATATCCTGAATCATGATCTTAGGAACCATATTGCAATACATACACACTTGTGGGAGGAAAACTATCAGGAAATCATTAATCTTTGAGAAGTCATTTTCTCCCGAGTGTAATCTTAAAATGCACATTACAAGAGTAAAAGTGACTGCTTAGTATAGACTGTATTTCGTGGATTGTGGTTTTAAATCTCTTATTATGGCAAGAAAGACATGAAATAGATATTGATAAGACATTAATTTGACACAGAGTTGAGAGAAGTACGCTATAAATGTGCGACATATTGTGTTCCAAAGATACAGAGTAGAGAGAAGTACGCTACAAATGTGCGACATGCTGTGTTCCAAAGATACAGAGTAGAGAGAAGTACGCTACAAATGTGCGACATGCTGTGTTCCAAAGATACAGAGTAGAGAGAAGTACGCTATAAATGTGAGACATAATGTGTTCCAAAGATATAGAGAAGAGAGAAGTATGCTATAAATGTGAGACATATTGTGTTCCAAAGATATAGAGAAGAGAGAAGTACGCTATAAATGTGAGACATATTGTGTTCCAAAGATACAGGAGTAGAGAGAAGTACGCTATAAATGTGCGACATACTGTGTTCCAAAGATACAGAGTAGAGAGAAGTACGCTATAAATGTGAAACATACTGTGTTCCAAAGATACAGAGAAGAGAGAAGTACGCTATAAATGTGAAACATACTGTGTTCCAAAGATACAGAGTAGAGAGAAGTACGCTATAAATGTGAGACATATTGTGTTCCAAAGATACAGAGTAGAGAGAAGTACGCTATAAATGTGAAAACATACTGTGTTCCAAAGATACAGAGTAGAGAGAAGTACGCTATAAATGTGAGACATACTGTGTTCCAAAGATACAGAGTAGAGAGAAGTACGCTATAAATGTGCGACATATTGTGTTCCAAAGATACAGAGTAGAGAGAAGTACGCTATAAACGTGCGACATATTGTGTTCCAAAGATACAGAGTAGAGAGAAGTATGCTATAAATGTGCGACATATTGTGTTCCAAAGATACAGAGTAGAGAGTAGTACGCTATAAATGTGCGACATATTGTGTTCCAAAGATACAGAGTAGAGAGAAGTACGCTATAAAATGTGCGACATATTGTGTTCCAAAGATACAGAGTAGAGAGAAGTACGCTATAAATGTGCGACATATTGTGTTCCAAAGATACAGAGTAGAGAGAAGTACGCTATAAATGTGCGACATATTGTGTTCCAAAGATACAGAGTAGAGAGAAGTACGCTATAAATGTGCGACATATTGTGTTCCAAAGATACAGAGTAGAGAGAAGTACGCTATAAATGTGAAAACATATTGTGTTCCAAAGATACAGAGTAGAGAGAAGTACGCTATAAATGTGCGACATATTGTGTTCCAAAGATACAGATAGAGAGAAGTATGCTATAAATGTGAAACATATTGTGTTCCAAAGATACAGAGTAGAGAGAAGTACGCTATAAATGTGCGACATATTGTGTTCCAAAGATACAGAGTAGAGAGAAGTAGTCGCTATAAATGTGCGACATATTGTGTTCCAAAGATACAGAGTAGAGAGAAGTACGCTATAAATGTGCGACATATTGTGTTCCAAAGATACAGAGTAGAGAGAAGTACGCTATAAATGTGCGACACATTGTGTTCCAAAGATACAGAATAGAGAGAAGTAGTCACTATAAATGTGAGACATATTGTGTTCCAAAGATACATCAGCCTCAACATCAATCAAATTTTTTGTTACAACATGTTCAAGATATACATGTATGTTACCAACATTTTTGATTTTACAAAGTGTTTAAAATTGTGTCAGTATGTCAGATAAGTTATTAGTAACTTGAATGCATGCAAGTATATGTTACAATTTTTTCTGAATAATACATGTAAATAACAGTCCATTTTGCCCAAGAAATGCTTTTAATTTCACTTCCAAAACCTTTAATTTTCTTGCACTGTTATAGTTACCATAAAGACCTGAACCATCTTTTTCTTTGTTGCTTTTTGGTAATTATAACAGTGATCATGCATTTTGTAACTACTTAGTTTATATTTTGCTACTTTTATGATAAATATTATCTCACATTAAGTATATATCTAAAAGAATGTTGACGTTTATTGTTATGCACCTGGCTGTGACCATCTGTGTCCAGTCTGAATCTTTTGAAACGGTAAAAAGAAAGTAAAACCTTTTGGCAGAAATATTAGTGATGGTGTGCAGAACACAAGTTCGGAATTTCTAAGATCAAAATTGGCCCCGCCTGGGAATTAAATTGATTTATATAGACTTATATAGGAGTTTTTTTGTGTCTGGTCTGTATCTTTTGAACCGGTGGAAGAAAATTGAAACTACAGTACTTGGCAGAAATTTTAACCATAATGAGACAATGTGCAGAGGGCAGGTTCACCTTTCTCAGGTCAAGGTCACACTAAGTCATTTTGTATCGATATCAAAATTTTGAATCCGCTCTGTTTCTTTTAAAAGATTGTAGGATATTAAATCTATTTGGCAGAAATATTAATATTACTGAGATGATGTGCAGAGCAAAGGTTTGGGCTTTCTTGGGTCAAGTCTAGTTCACACTTTCTCATTGAAATCTTTATATGTGTACAAATTGCAAAGAGAGATTACAATATTTATTAATATGTTTCCTCCTCATATATTTGTAGGTTACCTCCTTTAATTTCCCAATACTACCTGTGTTTTGCCATATTGTTGGCAGTCTTTCTTTAAATGAAAGTCTAATGTGGGTTAATATAATGTTGCTGTACCTGTTTTATCATCCATTAAAACAAAATGTTTGTTCAAAAAATATAATAAGTTGTAGAAAGTTTATCCCATGACTGCCACAGCATTTTGAAAAGCTGAATTTTAAAAGCTTTAGATAAAGGGAGGTAATAAGAACACATTTTCATATGCCAAAGAATATTATATTTATGTTAAAGCTTAAATAATTTGAATGAAGCAAGGCCTAGATGACATCTAAAAAAGTTAATATAAATCATACTCCTGGGGGTCTATAATGGCCCTGCCCAAGGGGTGACCTAGATAGGAAAACTTCATTTTCATGTATGTATTTTTATGTAAAGCTACAGTGCCTATATCTCAGTTATTTTGGCATGTATCATTACATAGAAGAACCCTGCAACAGTTTCAAAAAATCATTTTACTGATGTTTGTGGGATGGGATGTAGGTCTCACACAATATACATGTACACAGGTCTATATAGTACACATGTCTTAAAAGTCTTATCATCCCAACCTACAACATGCAGACCATAGACTTTTAACATGTATATCAATTTATTGGCTTTATAAAATAGAATTATCAGATTTGTAAAAATATTGAACATAAGATTGATGTTTGTGTGAAATTGATGTTATATATTATGTAAAGGGAGGTAATAAAAAAGGAAAACAAATATTTTTAAGCATAGCATTTTGATTTTTAATTATATTGTATACATAATATTTTGTGTTTTTGATTTTGTGGTGTAATAATATTTGTATGTTTTTTTTTTAAATTGTTTATAATTTGAATACCTACAATATTGTTGTTTTCAGTCAGTATGTATACTCTTTGATTATTGCATGGAGTTTAATTAACCTCTCTGCTTTAAAATTTAGAAAAATAAATGAGACTTTGTTAAGACATTGGTTTAGTTGAAGTTTGATTTCAATTCTTTGAGTAAGAATTGAGTGACAGGCTTAAATGAGATATTGTTGTGCATGCGCAGTTCACTCTTAATCAGTGGGTTTTGCCATTAGTAAACAAGGATGAAGAATGTTTTTTCAATAATTAATTAAATTTCTGTAGGGAGGGAGGGTGGCAGTTTAGCCCCACAATCAATTCTTACTTAAAAAAAATTGAAATCGAACTTCAACTTAACTAAGGTAAAACTCGTTTAATTTTTTAAAAATTCATTTTCATGAAAGAATTTTGTTTTGGGACTTGCTTGAGGCTTTAAAGCCTACAGTGAAGAAAAACCCCACCTAATCTTAGTGTCTCAAAACACCTTGAAATGGGTCATTTCTAATGTTTATTTCTTTATCATAAAATTTAGCAAATGGGCTTTAGGACGAGTAACAGGAACTCCAGAAATCTTTGAATTGGATACCGTTGCTGCTCTCGCACTATGCGAGCCATATTTCACAATGTTTTTACCAGGTCTATACAAATCAGCTTTTAATCCATCTAGAAATTGTGTCTGATTAGAAACATTTTTATATCATGGTTTAACATAACTTTGTTACAATTTCGTAGCATTATTTTCAGTTCTTATATTACTTGTGCGTACAAATATTCCTTCAGCACCGTATATATACAAAGTCTCCTATCTGGATGATAAGCTTTAAATGAAATAAAGTTAATGTTACAGTTTGGTCTGTAATGCTTTAGCAACACATCAAATTAAAACACAAACTATATGATTTTAACTTCTTATAATCATTATAACTAATCAATTGTAATGTTTTGACACATGCAGCACGAGTTATGGCCATGATCATCACCAGCTTTAATGTGAGATTTTCAGTGAAAGATGTCTTACTGATGAAAGCTTTTTCAAATAAATTAAAACTTTATTCACATCCTAAACTTCAGTATAACGTGATCTTGTTGGTCTGGCTGCAAATACACCTTTCATGAATCTAATTATTAGAGGAAGATTTCCAATTCGAAATTCTTCAAAATGAATTCCCAGAGCAGAGAAAGCACCACGATTTGTATTAAGACTTTCATAACCAAGACCTTTGTTAAACGGATTTGTTTCAAATTCGACTACTTTCTCCAAAGTTGGCCAACTTATTTAGTTCCGCCCATTGTTTTCTCGTTTAGGGCACACGCTTTTTATTACTTGGGGACCTTACGCCGCTTTTCATGGAATGGCACGGAAGTGTCACATTGAAGGTTCCATGATAACCGCCGTATGAACACATCTGCGGATGTTTCTAAATTCAAAATTATACTATTTCACGTTTAAATGTTGAATTCTGCTTAAGCCGGTGCTAGGGGGCGTGGACGGTAACTTGCACTTTCCAGTACCGTCCATGAACAGGCTCAATCAAACCGAGCCTGCAACATTTTCAATTTTGCCGTGTTGGGCTTTCTTTAGGGATTCTGTATTTATCTATTTTTTGAAGAAAACTTCCTTTCAGTACAGTAGCGAAACCACCTGGTAATCTGTTTTTTTAGTACCTGACTACCATGATAACATGAATATTCTGGTAAAGTCCTCTGAAAATCCACGTTTTCTGAAACTATCCATGACACTTTGCAAGTTA